TATATATGTATGTATATATGTGTGTGTGTATATATATATATATATATATATATATATATATATATATGTATGTATGTTTTAAAACATATTAATAAAACTTGTGCAATCTGCAATTCAAAATAAAAGTAGAAAGACTGTCACAAAAAGAGAAGTGGTTCAAAGAGAAAATTTATTGATATGGACTTTTTAGATACAAACATGTACAATTGCTTTAATACAATTTGTGTATAAAAAAAGACATGCGCAATATTCAACTTATTATTATTTTTTAAAGGAATAATACATTTATGCAGTCATGAACATGATTTGACAGTAAACATGACAGTAATTTGATGCTTTACAAAAGTTGCAGACACCTTTGCCAACATCAAAATGCTTTTGTGAAGCAAAATTAATTTAAACATCCAGTTATTCTTTACACCGATTAAGAAACTGGCTACTATAATAAAGAAGATCCACTGTAAATTGTAAAACTAAATACATTGCTAAATACTCTTGACACATGTAAGTGTAAAGCCTGTAGCCCACAACAAAGTTGCATACATTGTTGCGTATCATATTTAACAATCGCTTCCTATGAATTTTATGTAATTCATGGATTGTTGAATATTATTCAGATGATGTCATTACGCTGCTGTGCCGTCAGCCAATCGCTGCATTGCTGATCATGATTTCAAGGATCGATAGATCTGTCCTTCAAAACACACGCAGCGATCTCGGATCAGTTCATGCAGACACTTTAATCTGATTCATGAACTTGTTTGAAGATCCAAATTAGCCAGAGATCAGTTATCAAGATTAACAGATCCAGGACCTGTCAAATCATCTCAGATCATTTAAGTGAGGTACGAAGAACAGACCCCAGCTCACTTTAATGGCTTATTTTGTTATGCATAGCAAAAAGTTAAAGCACTTGCATAGGTTTCCACCGCTAAAACTATTGATAAAATATACTAATGAAAACCACTGTGATGGAGAGAATGATGTCCACAGTATTTGTATTTTTTAAGGCTTTTAAATGTGCACCTCAGCTGTCGGCCTTGAGCTCCACGGGGTCGATATACAGAGTTGGGTTGCTATAGACAAACCTTTGGTCACTTGTTCCAATAATGGTGGTTTCAGTGATGCCAGCAGCGGAAATCTTGGGCTGTGGACTATGTTAAACATGTATTGTTCTTTGAGTCCACCTTCACTGTCTTTCCCACATCCAAGAGAGTTACGGTGTGGAGAAGCCCCAAAGAAGCACACCACACAGACTGTCGCATGTTCAGATTGAAGCATTGGGGTGGATAATTGATGGTTTGGGCTGCAATCTCATGGCATTCCCCAGGCCCAATTCTTCAGTTCAGGGCAGTTTAATTTTCACTGCTGAAAGTCCAAACACCGAAGAGCAAATCCATCAATACAAAACTCCACAAGTCCCAAACAAAGCAAACAAGTGGCAACAGTGGCAAGGAAAAAACTTCACCAATTGACAAAAGTGAAAGAAAAACCTTGAGAGAAACCAAGCTCCGCAACTATTTCTCCACTGGTCAAACTTCTCTGAGGTGCTCACATGATTCAAGTTTGATTCCCTGCTCAAGCTCATTTGCCAATCCTTTACCACTGTCTCTGCTTCCCAAACTTTCCTGTCTAATACTCTCCACTGTCCTGTCTATTAAAAGGTGAAAACCCACCAAAGATGTGTATTTTCAATAGGATGCTGTAATGTTTGTGAGTATATCCATTAGAGATGGCATCAAAGCCAAAACTAGACCTAATTTAACTAAATAACTTAAGATCACAGTCCAAAAAATGAGTACACCCCCATGCAATGTCGGGGAAAAGTATGAAAGTAGGGGATCAAATTATTGCTCTAAAACAGAAAGTGAAATATTTAAGTTGCATTTTAGACAGTAATTTGACAGGTGAAAAGATGGCTGTTATAGTCCATTCAAAAATGTGTTTTAAAAATATTTATTTAGCAAGACAGGCAGAGCTCCTAGATACCCAAAATTTAAAAAATTTCGCTAGTGAATTAGTGCAGCCATACTTTGACTATGCTGCATCATTTTGGTACAGCGGTAGATAAAAAAATAAAAATTAATTGCAGACGGCCTCAAAAAAGTTGTACAGAATTGTTATGAAAGTATCTCCACTGACACATTTAAATAATGAACATTATAGTCAACGTAATTTTTTTAAGTTGAGAAAAGGGTAACATTTTTAAAACTATTGATGGTTTTTAAGATTTGAAAGAAAATAATCCCAAATAATTTTCTTAATTATTATGTTTAAGTTAGTGAGGTACATTATCATTCTACAAAAGCACGTAGCAGGGATATTTACCCATATAGAACTTAGAGAAAATAAGGTAGATTTTTTTTTTTTGTGTAAAAGCTCTGCTGCTTGAAAT